TGTGGAGAAGCTGGTTGGGCACGAAATTCTAGTCCCGCCAACAGGTTGTTGACGCACTTCATATTCTAGCAGTTCACGAGTCACGAGGTACTTTTTCATAGTGGTGGCTACTGTATCACGTGTGAAAGTGCCGAAACCTATACTTATCGACAATCGGAATTCGTTTTTCACGGATAGCCAGATGTGTCAACTTCCAATAAGCGAACTTTATCAGTCCAGGCTCTTTATTCCCCTCTTGACTTGTCAAAACCCGGGATCTGTTTTGGCACATCCAAGGAGCTTTTCCTTTTGCTCAGTATCCAACAATCACGGACGCCAGGAGGATATGTCAGCTCGACGACACTAAGAAGGTTTGCGCCACCCCCAATCCACTACTCCCAAGGCATAATTTTGCATATACACTTTATATAGTCCATATAGTGGTTGTCTACCCCCAATTTTCCCACCCTCTCAGGGCGCCTGTAACCTTTCTGCACTTTTTGGGTCAACTACAAAAGAACACCTCACCCCACCCCACCAGTCGAGTGTCCCAAAGCACCTTCTGCGCAAAGTCCATGTCCAAATGCTCACGCTCAATGGTGGCCACCAGCAGGCCCATCTCCTGACTGCAAGGCCCTCCCCAATCAGGCGATGGCTCAGAAAACGTAACCAACACGCCGGGCTTCTCAGGGCAACGACAGGTTGACATCGAGCACCCGAGACCTTGTCAGGAGCCAGCGGATCTTCCAAGAGCTAAAGCAGCTCTATCCGAAGATTCAGGCCCAGGTTGAGTGCGGAAGATGTTTAAGCAAGCCCCTAATCACCCTTTAACTTGCCGGTGCTCAGTAGGGAATGACCTTCCGGGTGTTGGGAATGAACCGTTTTGGGATTCCCTCAAGGGAAACCACAATGGATGGTTTGTAGAGATCCTTCCCTCATTCCCTCATTCCCTGCTGAGAACCAGCAAGTTGAAGGGAATGCCCAGAAATCAAGAGGAGGCTGCTCGATGGACCTAGTTCTACACTTGGTTGGCTTCACTGGGCGTGATCGCTGGGGAGTCTACCCTCCTGTTGCCGTGGAAGTGGAGAAAACTAGTCACAATCAAAACCCGGGTAACTGAAGGTTAGTAAAAATCCCAGCCATAAATAGCTGCGGCCGCCTTCCAAATTCTTTACATGGTTCTGGGTCGACCATTTTAGTACCGGGTTTTGAGTATTTGAGTATGACTCAAATGGCCCTTTTGAGCACAACGGTGAACGCCAGACCCTCCCTTTCTTTTCGTCAACTTCCACATGATCGGGGCTGCCCCCCCAATGATGGAAGTGAGGAGTGTTCCCAAGCCTTCAGCCCTATCCGCTTGCATGATTGTTGGAAAGCGGGTATTCAACCAAACGAGGTGAACTGCACTGGTTATAGGGCGAGATACCAGCTCTCCTCTGAAGATCCCTTTCTTGGTGTAGTTGCAAATGGACAACCTTTAAATGTTCCGTGCCCCCATCCAACTAAAACGCATTGAACAGGAGAGCGGCGAGGTGCCTGATTTTGACATACTCTCACCAGGGTCCCTTCATTTTTCCGGTGTTGATGGCGTCGCATAGCACCTTTCAGGCCTTTTTGAGTGAGATTCCTTTGGGTGGAGTGATATCTAGTCGGATCCTAGTCAAGTGCTGTGCAGTTGCATCCGATTCAGCCTTTTTTTTATCATTTGTGGCGTGTGTGTGTGTGGGTTTCGTTCAGCTTCACGGGGCGGGCTGTGAAAATATATGGCCAGTTTGTTTTGAAGGGGATGCCGAACGGGCCTCTGATGTTGAAGAACACTTCACCTCGTTCCTGCCTCTAATGAGAAGTGCGAGCCGCTTCCTTTCATTGGAATCGGGTGGCAGGCGAGAACTGAATCAACCACTTACAATTTACAAATTGGTAGTTATTTTAGGTGTGACATGATGGTTTTCCCTGGTTCCATCACAGCCTCCTCCTCCTCCTCTCCCTGTTCCATCTGGCCTATGGTACCTGGAAGCACCGGGTAGGTGGTGGAGGAGGTGTCGTTGCTGCGGGTCTTCCAACTCCACGACGACAAGCGCCGCGATGGGCCCACCTGGGGTGTGGCCGAGGTCTTCCGCCAGGCTGAACGCAGTGGGAAGAGGTCCCCCCCGAAATTGGAAATGTACATCTACATATGTATATATATATATAATACATATACATGTATACGTACATGAATAGACGAAAGCGCTAAGGCAGGCCAGTAAGAAGCGTGAAACAGCATGGTCGCACATGAACACATCGCACAGAGGAGTGGTGTCCGTTTGCTTTGCCCGCAAGCGCATCCAGAAAAGGGGCTTCCATTTTGTGGACGCATCATTTGAGCAGCGACACTCTCAGCCAAGGTTCTTTGCTGTTTGTTCTCAGGGTTTTTGATGTGGGATAGCCACTGTTGTTTGGCTTTAGGTTTTTAGGCTTTCGGCTTTTAGGCTTCAGGGCCATGTAGGGTTTAGCTTGCATCCTCCGCCCCTTAGGGGCGCGCTTGCTCTTGTCGCTCGCGACACGTACCTTTTTGGCCACATTTTGCACGACTTTGGGGATTTACGTGACCCCAACGAGTCAAAGTGCATTTAAGCCTTCTCAGGCCCTTTTGACGTGTCGTTTGATTCTTCATTGGGGCTGCAAAAAGCCCACCGATGCTTTCATTGTGTTGCAGTTCGCTTTGTGGCAAGGGGAAACCAACGGAAGCGTACTTTGTGCCTGAAAGCTGTGCATCCAATTTACAGTCCTCTTCTTCCTCGTGTTCTTGTTATTGATGGCAGCCCACAGCAAGTATCATGTTCCTTACTCAGAGGGAACCACGACAGACACGCGTCCTTCCGCTTACGCCACTGGTGCCGTTTTCAGGTGGAGGACCGAAAGGTGCGCCTGAAGATTGCGGACTACTCCGTGACACAGGCGTCCCTGGAACATGCGCCTCGGAAGAGACTTTTCAGAGAGGTTGGCGGGATTTTTCTGACCTGCAGTTGACACCTACCACCAAAAGCTTGATTTTGAGCTAGGGATCAACGCAAAGTCCAGTCGCAAGGCTAGCTCGCAGCCCATGGCATTCCAATTTGTGTTTTTATTCGACGCGTCCAACTTGAAAGCCAGAAGCACCCAGGACTGCCGTGTATCATGCCGTTCCATTGGCAGCGTCGCATGATCTGCCAAAAGTGTCCTTCCTATGCCACTCCCTCATACCAAAACGCCTGCTCTGAACCTACCCGGCTGTGGCTCAATAGCATGTACACAAATGGCACCTTGGTAAATGTATCCAAAGACAAAAACCTGCGTAACCCTAGCTATTTAATTTTGAGCCACACCCACCCGTGGGCCTGTGGATGTTTTTCGGCTGCAAGCTTTTGCAACTGTGTACCAACCCGGGGCTTTCAATGCGCCCGAGGTTTTCAATGAGCTGGCGCGAGCGGACCACTGAGCCGATGTCAACCAGAAGCAAATGGAAGCTGATGAGGGCCGCAAAGAAGTCGGTCGAAGAGTGTGGAAGGCCTGGGCACTGAGCCGGTTGTCGCTTCCGGCCAACATGTTGGATCTTTTTTGCACGCTCGTAGAATAGATGTTGAACGTTCAGATGTTCTTCGACCGTTTTCTGATGTTTGCGTTTTCTGCAGGTCATATGTTTCGGCGCCAGGCGACTTCTGTTGGCATCAAGCTTTAGTGCCAGGAGATTGAAGTATCCCGAAGCAGAGCAGGGCTTTCATTTAAAAAGGCGCTGCACAAGGCAAACGCCTTCGGCCCACTGGACTAGGCGAAAAGTCAGCGGACACGCAGCTTGGGGGTTTGTTTTGCATGGTTTGTGTGGCTTGGAACAGGTTTGGGATGTCCTGTTTCAACATCTTCTCGTGAGGGAATGTACAGTATATATATATATATATACACGTTATAGGTACACAAGTGTATAGATGTGTGTATGCGTAATATTGTACTACACACTGTATATACCAAAATACCCATATTTAGGTTCAATGTTAGCTGTTAGACCTTCCGTAGATGGCACTGGTGTTAGTTTGGCTCGACGCGTTTGCCAGGAACATGCCCAAGTACAACTCTTCCAGGATCTTTTTTGCCAACTGCCTCCCTCAGCTGGGTTTTCACTGAGAAGTCAATTCCGGACTCACTACTGCAGGACCGAATCAGAGGGTTCTAAGGGTTAGTACCCCCATTTGTTTCACCGTCATTCTTTTTCACAACAAATAAACAGGGGGTTCAGGGCTAGTTTCGGAGAACAAGGACCTAGTGTGAGAATTGTGCTAATTGTGGTGTATAGTGTCAGAACTGCGGTGTTTGCCAAATGAAACCATTGACTTCAAGGAAAGGGCAATCTAATTACACACGCTGGGATGGTGCTAAGCGGTTGTTGAAAAGAGCGCTTTGTACTTCCAGCACTGCGGGCTCGTCCCGGTGCCGTTCGCTCATCGGTTGGTGAGCCACGGGCCTGCCCCATACACTTCAAGAGAGATGAGATCCTCCAAATCACCTGGTGGTTTGAAGCCAAAGCACGCAACACACAGTCTTGAAGACCCCTCAAAATGTTCACCGGAAGGGACTCCAGACGTCGGATCCATGATGCGAGTGCCGGCACTTCTTTACCCTCGAGCTTGCAAAAGACGCGCGATCGAAAACGCATGGCTCAGTTCGGCCAAAGTGCTGGACGTGTACTATATAGACAGGCACCAGACAGCAGCGACATGAACTCGTTGCCCACATGCGGTGCCCTTTTTCAGGTGAATTCTGATTTCAGGCGTTCACCAGACTGGGCTCCTGCCAATCTTTGAAGCGGACGTATGGATTTGATACTTCCTGCAGACATATGTATCAGACTACTGTTTGACTTCCACCCCGAAGTCTGTTTTTTGACATCCCTTTGACCCATTGGTGCATGGGCCCAAGAAATCGTGGGGTTCATCAAAACCGAAAGAGCTCCCCCAGAACCACTCAAGTGGCTGGAGGCGCTGGAACGTCGTTCGGTAGCCGCAGCCATGGTCTATTTGCCGCTCCCTCCGGAGCTGGAACGTGAGGATGAGGTGCTGGAGGTGGGTCCAGTGCAAGCCGCCATGTTGCAGGGTTCCCTGTATTTCTTCTTTGGGTGGATCAACATATCAACTTTGGCCAATTTGAAGTGAGCTTCCTTTTGATTGGGAGATGTTTAAACAGGAATACAGCGAGCACCGTGTCGCCGCTTTCAGTCCCTCGATTATTCGGGGTACTTGGGCTAGGAGCAATCATGAGCCTTGGATTATATAATGGGTTGAAATTGGAGATCCATCAAAGGGGATGCTCTTTTGGATTTGGCTTTCCCAAAAATTAGGAACCCCGCCAATGCGTTTGTTTGGTCTGGTTTGGCTTCGACGCACTCCATGAAAAGGGCAAGGACAAGGGGACATTTCTCACCTCCTTAGCGTGGACTCAAACTGGCATGCTGCAGATATTCAGCCGTTCGCCATGAAACCTTTGGATTCATCAACTGGGTTCGTTCAAAAACGGAAGTCGAGCTCACAACGGGTGTGTGTTTGTGTGTGTGTTTGTTTGTTTGTTTGTTTGTTTGTTTGTTTGTTTCTTTGCTTTGCTTTGCTTTGCTTTGCCTTGCCATGATTTGTTTCGCTTTTTGTTTGTTTGTTTGTTTGTGTGTGTGTGTGTGGGAGGGTGTGGGTGCGTGCGTGCGAGCGTGCGTGCGGGCGGGCGGGCACGTGTGTGCGCGTGTAGTGTTTGTGGTTGCGTGTGTGATTGTTTTCGGTCTGTTTATCATCTCCTTATGATATGCCCGCGTTTGTTGGGCTTAGAGGGCTTGCACTTATGAATCGTTTGCACCAGGAGGAAAACAAGCATCATGTGCAAGGACTTTCAGTGGATGAAGCAGCGACGTGCCCGGATTGTCTTTCACTCAGCCCTTAGCGTGCTTGCAGGCACGCTGCGTCAGGTGGTTGTTTGGCGCCCGCTTTGTTGGAGATTCATTCCTTGGGTGCTTTGGGCAACTGCGCTTGATTTTTCCATCCAGCGACAGCTTTGAGATCGAAGAGGTGGGTTCCGGGGAGGTGCTGGAGTCGGGAGTATTTCTTGGCGAAGTTTGGGGGTTGGGGCTGGGTTACTCCCAGGCAGAGCGCCAGCTGTCGCAATACCTGAGCAGTCGGCAGGCTGGCATAGTGGGTCTCAGGGACTTTCTGCTGGCCTGGCGGGCTCTTCAAAACTTGGACGTTCAACCCACGGGAGCAGGTTATAGCCATGCTTACAAATGGCGGTGGCCAAAAAGATATACCCAAAATGGCCCCTTGGTAAAGGAAACAAAGACTAAAACCTGCGTAACCCCGGCTCTTTCATTTCAAGCCACCCAAATGGAACACCAGGGGTTGGCAACCTCTCGCTCCAATGTCTAAGTTGCCGTCGTCGTGCTGGATGCAGACAGGCAAGGAAATGACAGCGGCAAAACCTGACCGGCACACACCAAATGCATGACGCCCATCATTGGAACCAGTCCGCTTTCCTGGCATGTGGTCGTGCCTGTGCTTCAAAAGCAATTGCCAGCATGTTTGCACAGATGGGCATTCACATTTGATAAACGGTTAGAGGAAATAGGCTGTGCCATTTCTTTTCGTGCCTCTTGTATTTTGGTTTGGAGATTCAACTATCAAGGACTCAAACAAAACTTCTGCTTGACGGGTGCTGCTGTAGGAGATAAATCGCACAAACCGCAAACTCTCCATTTACTGTATGAGTCAGGTTGCAATTGTTGCAGCCTGTTCACTCTCATCTAACGAGTTGAACTCCAGAAAAGCAAGAAAGACATCTTCCAAGCACCTGGTTGCACACTGGTCCTAGAGATGAAACGCCATCTGACCTAGAGTGATCAACCACCGTGTTAGGGAGCGACGAACCGCACCCATGGCTTCGGCTCCGTTTCTCAGGCGAGCCACGGCGCTGGCCAGGCGGATCGAGACCAAGTGGAGCAAATGCCGTGCGGTTTGTGGAGCTTGCAACGTGAATGTTTGATAGAATAGGTGTCCTTTTTGGTAGACAAATAGATGTGGTTTACCCGGTGGTTTAATCATCTACCAGGGAAACCCATCTATTTCCCCTAAAAGGACGCCTATGTTTGATAGACTGTCACATTGCAAATTATATGAATGAGCCATTCATGCCTAGTTGCCAGCTTACTCCCCGATTGGTGTGCAGGCGAGGTGTGTTCCAACCTACAGTAAACTAGCAAGTATGCGTGCGCTGCATTGATGATATCTTTCTCAATCCTTCTTTTTCCCTAGACCCCCGGCCATCTCAGGAGGAAAGACCATTGTTTTCTACTGGTCGTTGACATGGGTGTTTCTGGCAATAGGGCTGCCCTAAAATGGCTTGTTTACTTTTTGACTTCTCTTTCACCAATTGGATTTCTCGGGTTCCGATTGATTGATCAACTTGGGTTCCCACTCAAGTTGTCTTTGTCTGGAGGACCCCAAAACTTCTATTCCGGCAGGGGTGGGGTATGTCCCCTGTGGGTTTTTGCAAGGTCCTGATTCCAACTGCCCAAAGAAACCCCCGGGAAACCAACAAATTTGCCGCGCCATCGCTCCGCGCGAAGCGCGCGCAGGCGCCGCTGCGGCACCTCCTGTCGCAGCGCTTGACCGCCCTGGCGGAGCAGATCTTGCGCCAGGAGCAGGACCTGGAGGCCTGGTAAGCGGCGAAGTTCCATCCATCCGGGTGACCCTCCCAATGAAACAGCCGGAACCTGACGTGACAGGGGGTTTGTTTTGGTTTGGGCCTTGTTCCTTTTTTGCAGGGACCGAGGCCCCGTGACATTCCATGTTTATGGGAGGGTAAGGTGGCTGGACGAAATCCGCTCGCACCACCCAAGATTGGGGGATACTATGGTGGGGATGGTACTATGATTATGGTGGGGATGCTTGTTTTACTTTTGGTTTGGCGCTGTGTCGGTTTGCTGGTGGTTTTTGTTGGATTAGTAGGTCCGCGGACGCTTACTTGGTTCTAAGCTGTTCTGATCTGGTTTGTTTTGATGTGTTTGGACCCGTTTCCCGTTGCGTGCCTGACCGCAGCTGTCTCTGAAAAGCGGCGCTGTCGCGGCGTTCTGTCTTTTTCTCTTTCTGTTTATCCTTCTTTTTCTCTTTCTCTTTCTCTTTCAAACTTGTTTGTTTATCTCTCTCTCTCTCCTTTAGTCAAAGCAGACCACAAAGTTGGTCCAACTTAAAGTAAAGCGGTTCGTCAAGCCTTGCGCTGTTGAAACGTAGCGATCTGTCCCTTGACTTCCGACCTTGCAAAGCCCTTCCATATGGCCCGCGAGTCAGAGCGCTGTCTGGGGTGACGGCAAGGGCCCGCTGCCGAAACCTGAGTCTCTTTGGGGTCAGGCTGTCCAAGTAGTGCGTCTTTTTATATCAACCTGTGCCACTGGCTGTCAAGGATGCGGGGTACAAGCGGCGCGGCCTGTTTCGGCGGTTCCTGCCGGCTGCTGGTTTGTATGCCAGGAAGTGCAGTCTCTTGCTGCGAGGAAGACATCAAGTCGCATCCGCGCTGTCACTTTGCCCGATCTCACCGTGACACCGCAACTGTCTTCCAAACTGCGCGGCGCTTGTTGCGGATGTGAAGAGGAAGATGGCAAGCATGCCGCATGCCATCTTGCACAGTCGCTCTCAAGAGTAGCAATGTACCATGCAATGCGCCCAATCGCAGAGTCACCACTTTTGATTGAAAATCGCATACGTTGACACCCATCAAGCAACAGTCTGCCCAATTTCGTCACAGCAAGTTGAGCCGGGATGCCGCCGACACTCAACAATATTGCTCAAAAGACTCTTTCACAAGGCAGAAAGAGGGGCCCTGGAAACGGACCCTGACTGACCTTCACAGCAATCCTGCTCAAGATTTGGCGGCTCGGAACAGCAAGCGAAACGCTGGATGGAGGCCGACAGGACAAGAAACAGATGTAAGGACAGCACTGCTCAGTACTACCGCAAGCATGTAGGCTTCGCATCAACTCAATCAGCAATCAGTTTGTTTAGTTCAAGCTCACTCACACTATTGCGCGGGAAGGCGTTTCTTCGTAGGAACGCATGTCAAGACCCGGAAGGCTGATGAGCATTCTTGTTGAATCTGCTTCAGCGTCTTTGTCTCAACGGAAAGCTTCGTTTTTCAGCGGCTTTTGCCACTCCTCCAAAGCCACTTCCGCACGTGGAGAAGCTCGTGGTGCCCTGAACAAAAATCCCAGAATCGCCAGAATCGGATCTGCCTGCCAGGGGCTGGTGCGCCAACTTCCTGCAGGGTAAGCAGTCGTGAGAGACATCAATGCAGAACCCCAGACAAGTGGACACATCCCTGGGCCGTGTCGGACCTCCACCGGCAGAACTCGAGCGCACGGCCCGCGCGCCAGGAGCTGCGGCGCAGGGCCTCGGCGGTGCCGCCGGAGGTGGCGCTGCTGCGCGAGGAGCCGCCAGAGCTGCAGGGAGGGGCGCCGAGGATCGGCCGAAGCTTTGGGCTCGCATTTTAAAGCTCACTAGCGAGCGTTCAGCCTGAAAATGGTGAGCACCCTTTTTACTGGTATTTACGAGGAACATACAGAGGAAGCCAGCCATGTTAGAGGACACCTGGGTTGAGAAACTCCCCCCCCCCCAGCGGGGAAAAACTGAGGTAGCTTGGCTGGTTACCTGTGCTTGCAGAAAACGAAAAGGATAGACGGGGTTCTCTTGGCTCAGCGGTTCAATGCTGCTGCTGGTCACGCCTACCGTTAGTGAAAACGGCGGCAACAGCAGGTGTAGTAGGTACAAGCCTAAGCGCGCTGCAACAGCAGCACCACCAGCACCACCATGACCAGAAACAATAGTAACAGTAGCAGCAACTTGCGACATCAACAATCAGAGTAACAGCAACATATTTGATTGATTTGTTTAGTTTCATTGATTTGATAAATTGGATTGGTTTAATTCACTGGATTCATTTGATCGATGTGAATGGTTCGCTTGTTCAATTTTGATTTGACTATTTTGATTTTCTGATTGATTGATTCGATTTGATTCGATTTGATTCGATTTGATTCGATTTGATTCGATTTGATTCGATTTGATTCATTGATCGATTGATTTGCATGCATGGATTGGAGGGTTTTGAGGTGATTCGACGCCGCCGAATGGCTGGACCACTTGCACGCGCCCTTCCCCGAGGAACGGGCGCCTGGCCTCCAAGAGCCACAGCTTCCTGGAGGCGGCCGCGGAGCTCTCGGCGCAGCAGGGCAGCCTGGAGGCGAGCGGTCGCTAGCCGCTCGCTCGCTGGGTATCCGCTCGTAGAAATCCCTCGGCGCCCCAGCGCCCTCACCCTCACCCTGTTTTGGTTGGGAGGGTTCCCCTACCAAAATAGACTACAGCAAAAAGGGTATCCTTGTTCTACCCTCTCCACTGGAGGACCTAGTTGTGGTTTGCAGGGATCCCCAAAATTTGGTGCATGCCCGGAACAGGTCAAGTTTTGTATCTAGCTGTTCCTCAAACTGCTTGGTTGGTTCGTATTTCGTATTTTCCCGAATCGCGTTGTTTTTTGCTGGATCCCCTCGGTTTGGTTTGGTCTTGTTTTTCGAGGATTTCTTTATGCCCCAAACAGCTTGGCCCGGTCAAGAGATGGTTTAGCTTTTGTACCCCTGCACTTGTCTCCCCACTTGTTCTCCCTGCTTGTGTTTGGCAATGCTTGGTGATTCAGACCTTGTCACGGCTTGCCTTTTGACTTGTGTCCTTTTCACGACACTTGTCTCCCCACTTCTCCCCACTTGACTCCTTGCTTGGACCTTGTCACGGCTTGTCTCCCCACTTGCTTCCCCCAGCGACACGCTAGGGGAATGCCCTTTTCTTGCTCCATGTTAACTTGCAGAGAAGTGGCAGTGGTACAAAGCCTTGGTCTCACACATGGTGGCGCGTGACATCAGGTCTCAAAGCACCGTCCTTCCCTTTTAGGCAATTTGCTGCCGTCTAGGAGTTTGTTCTGCTGGTGAGCTTTCGCTTTGTTTGGCAACCATGCGCCGCCGCCCGGGCAACGTTTCACGTCCAGGTTCCTGGAGCTAAGTCAAAGATCACTGTCCTGGCCCCCGCCCTCCTCTCAGTCTCAGAAGCCGCAAAGCGAAAGCGGGCAGCGTGATGCCAGGAGGCCAAGGCAGAGGTCCGCGAAGAGGCTGGGGGGGAGAGAGAGGAGAGGCGGAATGGAAGCAGGGAAGGGGGCGCGCCATTTGGACAAGCTTGGCCGAGAAAGCCGGCCAATGTGGGGGAAGGGAAGTAGTGCAGTGGTTGGGCCACGTCTTTCACAGGCGGCACGTGCGAGTGACGCATTTGCAAGGCCGCGTCGGAGCGCATGAACCCAGCAGTAGAATGACCTAGCCCTGTGTCTTGGGGGTTTGTACACGAAACAACGGAGAGCGCTCTGGAAGGATGGGCTTGTCTGAGACGAGTGTGAGGTGGATTCAGTTGTCCCTCCTACCAAAATGCACATGTGGCTTGAAATCACGCTGAAGCCGAACTTGTTCATGTCGATGTTCTGTATGAGGACAAACCAGCTAGAGTGTTTCTATGGCCTTGCGAGAGCCGGGCGGAGTTGGCTGGGCAGGTTGTGAAAGCAGCGGATCAGGTTGCAGAACTGCTTTCCGGAACGGACTCTGGAGCGTGCGCTAGAGCCAACGAGCAACCTGATTCTGCGCAATGGGCGCGGTTGCTGCCCTTGGTTACTCTCGTTCCAGCCATGGAAGTGGACAGAAGGTTTGTGGACGATTACCATCCTCTGGAAAGGCCCTCCTCTATGATTGTTGGAGAACGGGTTTCCCAAGCAAAAAGTGTCCAAGAACCTTGCACCAGGAGCTGCGAGAGTCAGAGCTGATAGGCCAAGCCTCTTTACATTGGACCTGACCAACCCTTGTTTGTGTGAGTGTGTGCCGCTTGCGACATGCAGGCGGCGTCGGGGGACCACCCTTTTTGCCCGTTTGCGTTGAAAAACCAGCAACAGTTAAGCTTCGCAAGGTCTCTAAGTTTAGCCAAGTTTAAAAACGAGGAAAACTGAGGTGTGCGGAAAGGTTCGCCAATCGCTACCACTGCCTCGGTCATGGATGAGGGGCATGCAGGCATAGAAAGATATGTCCTTGAGCTGCGACCACATAGTTGGACTGTTTGGGTTGATTGCGCTATCAGGGTGTAAATATGCTGGCCATAGGTGTCCTTTTTGGCTGTTTTGGTCAAAAAATAGATGGCCCTGGTTTACCTGGTGGTTTAATCATCTACCAGGGCCATCTATTTCCCCTACAAGGACACCTATGATGCTGGCACTTCCCAAGGGTCGTCTTGCGTCGCCCAACTCACCTGTAGCATGTTCCGCCCAGCAGAATGGAGTTGTCACCTTCAGCTAGCAACTGTGGTTGTAAGTTACTTCCTACCAGGTCTGGATAAAAGTTGTTTCTCTCGTGTCACCACAGTTGAGAAGATACATCAAACGGCCATTTCAATCACGCCGATAGAAGATCAACTGCAGTCTCGCGCAAATCATAGCGCCTTCAACAAGGCGTGAAACGACCGGAAAAAGCTGATGGATTCGGAGTTTTCGCGGCGTGTGTTGCATAGCAGATGCAAGAGTTCTACATTAAACGTGCGGCCATACTGTCGCGCTGGGAGTTTGCTGCTAGTATAACAACAATAACCAATGTCCAAGCGCCCACTGACATGTCACGCTCCGTCGGAGAGCCTTTGTATCTGAGCACAAACATCGTGATGTCGGCTCAATGGGTTTGCAGGTGGAAAGTCTTCAAGTGGAGCGAGATGCCCTGGCCAAGAAGTTGGACGAGCAAGTGACGAAGGACCTTCTAGTGGCAGCTGCCACGGTCGCCCAGACCCAAACGCTGGGCCAGCTCCTTCCCCATGCAGCTTTCCATATGAAGATATTGTTTCAGCCCCATGTGTTTGCTTTTGGCTTCTAGCGTGGATGTACACATATGGACTGATGCTGCTGTTGTTGTGGTGGCTACTGTGGTGGTTGCTGATTGTTTGTTGTGTGCTGTTTGTGGCGTTTCTTGCCGTTTCTTGTTTGTTGTGTTATTTGTTCTTTGCTGTTTTCTGCTTGCTGCCGCTGGTGCTGGTGCTGCTGCTGCTGCTGCTGCTGCTGCTGCTGCTGCTGCTGCTGCTGCTGCTGCTGCTGCTGGGTGAAGCGTGAGCCAAGAGCAGTTCGGGTTTTAGGGGCGCTGCCACGCAACAATGCCTCTCAATCGTTCGCCGCAATCGAGGAGGCGGAGGCGAAAGGGCTTCAGGAGCTCCCCGGCAGAACCTGGGCGTTTGGGGCTTGGGTCGGGCGACTGATGACTGAACCGCTTGTGGTTGCTATTTTTTGTTGGTATTGAGGGAGACGCAGACAGAGAGAGAGAGAGAGAGGACGGCTTTGCTTTGATTTGACCGATGTTTCCTCCTTGTGCCTTGATTAGACACGTCTCCAAGAATTTCAGTGACTTGCTCTCTCCCTCCCTCTCTCTCTCTCTCTCTCGCACACACACAAACACACATGGCCCACGGTGTCACATGGAATTTTAACTTTCAGTAGTGCGATGAGTTTTGAAAAGCAACTCCAAGCTTTATCCGTGTGCTTGTTTGGCCGAGAGTAGCCCCCGTGGTCTGCACACGCTGAGTCAACTTGGTTTTCTCCGGATCAGTGAGTTTCAGTCACCTTCCAGGCGCCTACCTGTTGGACCAATTCACCGAAACTAGCCTAGGGCGCAAAGGGCAGCACTAGAGGTCCGGCCCGGAACGAGGGGTTTTTGCCTTGATGTCCGTTTGAATACATCCCAACAGGGTATATAATTCGCAACACAGGCACACCGTCATGCACAAATCGGAAGATGGCTGTGGGTCAAAACCCTGTACCCCTGGTAACATCAAGATAGGTGGTACATGGGTGTTCATCCGCCCCAAACTGGAGGCATAGGTTATGACCCATGGCCACATGTGACAAAGCAGGTGCTCTCTTTTGCCAGTGTGTCTAGGTCCTCCAGTAGAGAGGTTAGAATAAGGGTACCCTTTTTTTGTGTAGTCTATTGTAGTAGGGGAACCGTGAACCCTCCCTCAAAACACGGTAACTAGTACTGGGAGACCTAGGTGTTTTTGGCTTGCCCCTTTATGGCAGGTCTTGCCTGCGCGCCCTGGATCTGGAGCGGCACCGCAGCCAGGACGGGCCGGAAGCAGGGCTGGGAAGAGGCGTGCCTCGCTCCGCCTTTCTGCCTTGGTTCGGTGATTTGGCTGTGGGTCAAACCAATAGAATCCAATTTCGGTGTAGGTGCACCACCCATTTTTGTCTATTTTAGTGGGGATTGGGATGTTCACTAGGGGTACGGGATTTTGACCCATGGCCATTTGGGGTTTGGATCTGCACCAACCAAGGCTTGATCTAGGGCAACCAAGCATCTAAGATCAGATTGAGATGGGTTTCTGGGTTGTAGATGTAAATGCCTTCTGCTCCAGTTGTGTGAGAGTGGTGTTATGCTCTATGTTCGAAAGGCTGCTCAAATCGTTGCTCTCTGGTTCGACCCGAAAGAAGCGTTTGACTGTTTGACAATTTCCGTTCCCACTTAACCAAGCTAAGTTAGGCTGCCGCAAACGCATGTAAGCCATTTGCATCCTGTATGTGGACAAAATCCATTGCAGACCACTTGGCATGTGGCTTGTCAGCCAGACTTCAAATCGGGGGGCTCCATCCCAAGTGGTGCAAAGTGGTGTCCAGACATGGTGCTGTGCACCTTCAAGTCCTGAAGGATCCGAAAACTCGCAAGGGGCTGACATCAACGGGTAGGGAGATGGATATCCAAATGCCGGAAAAAGTAAAATGAGAACGCCAGATGCGACCATCGTTGAAGAGCAGAAAATGAAGAAACACATCAGGCGACAAAGCGGGCCCATGCAATCAGTCAAGTCAGTCACACACGACACAAGTCAGGAAGCATTAAAAGCGGAGTACAAGGGGTTCTCTTCCATTCTTGGTGCTCAATCCGGCTTTTGACTTCTCTCTCAAGCAAACAGCATGTCATTGTTATTGATTCACAATATGTCACAAAGGATCGACCATTCTTGTTCCACTGATCATTGGGACCTATTTTGGCATCAGAGAGACAGAGAGAGAGAGAGAGAGAGAGAGAGAGAGTATTGTCTCTAGTCATGCCAGTTTTTGGTTGGGTCGACACTGATCTAGATTTGTCATTCATCATTTCACAACGGACCATGTATGGCTGGTCCGGACTTAGGTGAGGGACTATGAGGGTGTTTCCCCAAAAAGGAAAAAATCCCCTGCATTGTAAAATGGGTTGCACCCCCCCTCACCAGGGGGTTTATCCATCCTAGGTTTTTATCATGGGTATTTGTCCCAGTTGGGGTTCCCAAGGATGACAAGTTTCCCTTTGGTGTCCCTTTCAAAGTGGACACCCTCAAAATGGCAGGTGCTGGACAATCCCTATGTAAATCATGTCCACAGAAGAGACCACATGGAACTCATCCTTTGCTCCCAAAGCAAAAGATTCCCTCGATAGCACACCCCTCTGTGGGTCAGCCATTGCCTTGATCGACTCAAGCCTTTTAGTGCTTTTTCCAAAAAGATACTCACCCCAATGGTAGGCGGACGCCCTCAAACATGGGCCTAAATATTAGAATGAGGTCGAAGCGAATCATCATAGGAGCAAACTGTGAGTTCATCTTTTAGCACCTTAAGTCATGAAACCGACCCCCCAAGAGACGCCTCTTGGGATCCGCAGTCCCCAAAGGATCTTGGGAAACACGTTGGGATAGTCTTGGGAATGCGAGATATCCATAGGATGCCAGTCTTGGGAAAACCAAGTAACTCCAATATTACTGTAATCACAATTTCCCCTCTTGTCACCTTTTGGAACCCCCTTTTAGTTGGCGGTAAAGGAAACTAAAAGGGCGCGAACCATAGTTTTCATGGGGGTTTGCTCTGCAGACATGCCCATCTTTTCGTTAACCCTCTTCTCATACCTGTACGTTGCTTCCTTTTTTCACTGGAGAGCTTCCTAAGACAAAAAACCGGAGCGCGGTTTTTTCCCCGTGGAAATCGGGGGTTTGGGTCTCCACAAACGGATCGGGAGGACCTGTCGAAGACGCTGAGCGCCGCGCTGGCGCAGCGCCGGGCTGCTCTGGAGGACGTGGAGAAAAGGGCCAAGCGGGCGGAGCGGGAGGCCGGCCGAGCACGCAAGCACGCGTGCGGCTCGCAGCCCTTCGAACAAGAAAGCACCAGGGAAGCCATCCATTGGGGTCACCCTTTGACACATGCTCATTTGGTTCTGAAAGTGTTGAACCGCCTTTTGGTTGGTATTTGAAGGGAAACCAACAGTGACATCAACCATTTCAGGGAACCGCTATTTTGAGAAGCCTGCATTTCTGCAGTGATGGCCATGCACCGACCCTGAACCAACCTAAAGCAACCGGAATCATAAACCAACCCTGAACCAACCTAAGCCAATGCCACGCCCACGGGGACCATGGGTGTGGGCGGGGGCTGGCAATGCTGTACCATATATATATATATACTCAGTTGTTCAAAGCCGACCTTTTGACCTTTTGGTTTTCCCATATTGGTCCATATTTAGTCATGGCCGCAAAAGGTTAACCTTTTAGTGCCAGGTCCTTTGGGCAACTGATATATATATATATATATTTGCCGGAAGAATGGATAATCTGGGATTGTCAAAAACGGGATGTTGAATAAGGGATGCTGTGGTTCTCAGAGTGAGTGGAATCCCCACGTTTTGCAACTGTTTGACTGCAGGCAGGCTAATGGTAAATTACAGATGTGCCGATGGAACCGTGTTGGGCCAGCTCTCCCAAGCGGAACAAGTCATGTTGCAGTCAACCATGGGAAGCTTCCAAACCACCTCACGGCGTCAAGGTTTCCTGGAGTTTTCAAGTCCTTGTCGAAAGCCGGAAACAATCTGAAACTGGTTGAAGGAAAATGCTCTCCATCTGAAACTGTATGAAGGGCATCGCCATTTTCAGCGTCTTTCCCATTAAAAACTCCGCCTGGGGGGAAACCGCCGGTGGCTTCTGGCAGGCTCACGGCTCGCGGCTCGCAGGTGGGTTCTCTGGAGACCTCCCTGGCGGCGGCGCAGGCGGAGCACACCTGCGCTGAGAGCACCGGCCAGGCGGAGGCGGCGCGGAGGCGCGGGGCATTCGGAGTCACCAGACGGCTTGAGACTCCATACTGTGGATGGACACAATCCTGCACCAAATTAAAACCATGGGAAACCATGCGTTGTTGGTATTTACAAGGGAATCATCACCCCATGGTTTCTCAGGAGGTGAAGGATTTCGTCCATCAACGGTACCATTGCCTTTCGGATGGACCCATTGGCCTCCAGTAGTGCCCTGTTTTCTCAACACCTGTGCCCTTTTTTTGCTATGGGCGCTAGGGAGGTCAACGGTTTGTCTCCAAATGTGGGTACCCCAAAATGAGCGGTTTCCCTTTGTGTTTGCATGCCGGGCGGGTTCCTCTTGGCTTCCTGATGTCAAGCAAATCGCAGGCTCGGATTCACATAGCCAAAAGCCATCATCTCCTTTTGGGCCCCAAAAGATTCTTTAGAGCCAGCTTCGGTCATGAATGTAGGAGTAAACGACCAGTAGTCGTTCAACCCCGACCGGTTCCCTTGAGGCTTTGTCCAACCCCGGGGTACGCCAGATGGTCCACCAATCAGAAACTCATTTGCTCGTGGCGTTAAGTGCTCATGGTGTGCTTGCTCAATCTGGTTTCAGCACGTCAGCCTTGGCCCCGACTTTTTAAATCGTTTGTCCAACCACAAATAGAAAGCAGATACACACTCGGCCACTCCACAAACGTTTTGTCCAAAACTCAGCGGAGCCACAATCAAAACCTGGGTAAGTGAAGGTTAGGGACATCCCAGCCACAAGGCGATATGGGTAATCATTTTAATTGGGGACCCCTTGGTAAACGTCATTATGGGATTTATGGCCACCAACCACTTTTCAGGTGGTTCCCCAGTAAAATTCATAGCCATATGGGTGTGGCTTAAAATTTAAGAGCTGGGGTTACGCAGGTTTTAGTCTTTGGTTCCATTTACCAAGGTGCCATTTTAGTACATGTTTCTGAGCCACAGCCATATGTTATTTGTTCACCACTGAGCCCGCAACTCGACATTCTGAGATTGCACCCTGGGATTGCACCCTTGGGAAATGACCAGAATGGTTCAAAATAGCACAAAAGCCCTTAGCGACAGCGACATGGGCCAGACGTCCTGAGGCAGCAGCGCGCGCAGCTCTTGGAGTCGCAGCAGCAGCAGCAAAGCTCGGAGGAGGCCCAGGAGGCCGAGCTGAGGCAGCGCTTGCAGCAGGCGGTGATGAGCATCGCGACGCGTCGTTGGCGGGGACGGACGTGTTTTTTATCCTTCTTCTTTTTTCTTCTCCTTGTATTTTAGGAAATAATTATTATTATGTGTTTCTTTTCTTAAGGTTTGGCGTAGGTTGGTTTGGTGTGGATTTTTGCAATTGTCGAGGTTTGCTCTGCCTCGCTCTGCTTTCTTTGCTCGCTGGCTGGCTGGCTGGCTGGCTTGCATTGAAAGTAAGATGCTCATAAGTTCTCCCCCGTAATTTGCAAAGCAAAGCAGGCCCCACAAGCGATAAGAATTGATATCCGCTGCCTTGCTTGGGGGACCCGATTGCAGCGTAAATTGGATAACAACATACGTAAATCATATGTACTTTAAGAGAGAGAGAGAGAGAGAAGTGAGAAGGTGTTTGTTTCGAATACCTAATTTGATGTTTACCCAAGCAAACTCGCAATTGCGACATCATACTGCATGATTCCTGGTCTCCACTATCATCATGAACTGTGCAGTGAGCCGCACTGCATGTGATTGTGGTCCGTTCACATGCGAGTGCCTTGTAGATTTACGAACATAAAACATAGCCAAGTAGAAAAAGCTTACATGAGGATCAGAACGCCAGCGGGAGCGGGTCGTCTTTGAATCAACCGTTGGGAACCATCGGGCAACATGCCATGGCTAAGCTGAAGCTGCGTCAATTGGATCAACATCGAGCGCGGGCCAGCGGAACTTGGCCATGGCGCGCGGGAGTGGATCCTTGCACGACTCACAACCAGTTCTTGGCTGAGGCTTAGCTATTCAGGGCTCCTTAAAGGTTACATTTTGCCCATTTGAAACATGTTTTTTTTTCCACCAAAATAAAGGGACACCGCCATGTACAAGGCAATGTTCAGGTGTATAATGGAAGGATCCCCGCTATTCTGCGTCATTAAGGCCTCGACAGTGCTGATGAGGTGGGTTGCCAAGCCAAGTGGCCTTATGCTCATGCAGGATAATTAGTGTTCGCATATGCTTGGCAGCCCATGGCTCTTTTGAGAAGGCCAGAAGGTACACCATGGAAGCGGCCCCCTTCCTCGCAGCATTCTGATGCCAGAAAGGTTTTGCAGGTCTCTTTGGCGACCTTCGGACTCAAGGGGCTCAAGATCCACTCCTCCCCCTTAAAAGTGGAAGGTCCTGGATTTCCCTGGAGTTTCTTGCGAGACTCATGTTTCCCCTTCGATTGTCTGTGCAGCAATGACCAACGGGTTGGGTTTCAGGATACTTAAGAAATTAGGCTAACCATGACTTCCCAGAGATTGTACACCAACCCTTTGAACCTTGGCACTTTCGGGATTCTCATCTGGCAATCTGTTTGGCTGGTTGGTGGATCCTGAACCCCTCAGATTCATTGCCCAAGTATTCCCAAACAATCCTTGCTCTACGCCATTTTTGGGTCGCCAGAACTCCGCTTTGGTCTCAAGTTAAAGCAGGGGTGCCCCCTGCTTTCCTTGGAAGTCCTCAGGTCTGAGTCTAGACACCACCACCCTTTTCCGAGTCCTTCTCTTTTTGGCAGGGTCAGCCATGGAACCAAACACAACACAAACAACAGAAAGAACAAAAGCGCATCGACCGCCGTTCTCCGAGCATTTTCCGCGCTGAGAATCGACGCGTCGACTTGACGCCAGGCGCGGGCCGAGGCCAAAGAGCTGGAGGTCCACGCGGAAAACTTCGCGCAGCAGCTGGCGGACAGCGAGCAGAGCCTCGGCGAGGGAGTCCATCCTTTAGATCTCCGGTGGTGCCCCTCTCTTTTTTCTTCTTATTTCTTATTTTTGTTAGGGATGAAGTAGCCAAAAAATGGAGTGCCCAACAATTCCGGGGGTTTATTTGGTATGTGCATTCAACAGGGATGGTTGCCTTCCTTTGGGTTCCCAAGCCAATCTCCCAAAACTGGAAAATACTTATTCCCTCTAAAACACAACCACACCAACACTAGCAGCAACACCAGCACGAACACCAACACCAACAAGCACAAGCACAAGCACAAGCGCGAGCCGGCAGCTTGAACTTGGGCCCTTGGATACGGATGCAGCTCAAGGTGTCGAACTGTGAGGCAATCGCCTCACGTGGGAAGTCAAGCTTGCATGAGCCCCCCTCCTTTTGTTGAATCCATCCGGAAGGGGTTAGCTCCGGATCCTCAGGTGGAATATCCAAGCGGAAGGGGGCGCTTTACTTGGGCATTGGGGACCTTTTAGCGAACAGGATTTGAATGTTTTGTTTGCGCACAGACCATGTTTGAGTTGGCATTCGAGCGATCATGTTTCATAGCCATAAGACTTCCCCTTCTTTGGTTGCTTGGTTTGGGCACGTTCGGACCAATTCACACAGATCGTTCCCCTTGAACTCGCCAACGATCGGCGAAGCAGCCTGCATTACGTTCTTGTTTTTAGACATATATTTCTTGATCACTTTACCGTCGCTATGGGAACCAAGTTTATATATATATATATATTACATCTATTATTTCTATTGTTACGTTTTCCGCGGGAGGCCCCAGAAATCCGCCACGGCACTTCCACGTGCCCCGGGTGCCCCGCCAGGAAGGCGGAGGAGAGCGAGCGCAAGGCCACGGCGGTGGCCAAGGAGCTCTTGGAGCGCCTCGTATGGCTGGGGGTGGGGTGGTGAGGGTTGGTTGGGTTGGTTTTGGGTTGGTGTGTGTTTGGGGTTTCCCCAAATCAAAGGGGCATTTGTTTCCCATGGCCGGGTTGTTTGATGCGTTGGGCAGTTGGCAACATTTATCCAGCGGGGTGCGGTGTCTGTGTGTGTGTGTGAGTATATGTGTGTATAAATAGTCTCCCAAGGGGGGGGGGAAGGTTGCTTTTCCTTTGTTTCCCTAAAGCTACCCACCCTTCCCCAAAAAGGGGGTTCCCCTCAACGACACCCATCCCATTTGGCCGCGTCTTGTTGGAGTTGGTAGCCTTGGTTGGTTTTAAGAGAACCGCCAGGGAAACCCATTGTAGGGTAGCCCCCTGTCGGCTAGCATGGAACTCACTAGGGCGCCCCTTAGACGAAAATTGTCTTTCAGTCAGGATGCATGTTAGGGGATGGAAGGCTACCCATACTCCGTCAGGGGAGTGTTATTTTTAGTTTGGGACCACAAGCTAGTCTCTTGATGTTTAGATACTAAAGACCGTATGAACCTTGTGAATGCCAGTACTTCTTTAGTCTCCCCAGAAAGGCAATCGCTTCCTTTGGGTTTTCGTTTGTTACCGACCAAAAGACGGTTGGTTCCAACAATGAGATCCACATACGTACATAAATACAGAGTATATATATATATATATATATGTGGTACCCCCCCCGCATGGACCCTGGTTTGGTGTGTTTGACCTGTATTTTCCAGTGTTTTATGCCTTTGTTTGCTTGTTGGATTTGTGTCAAAATTTGGGGGTGCCATATTCATATACGATATGCATGCATGCAGACAGATGCGATAAACACAATGACATCAGCATCTGCAATCTGAAAGAGTTTGAATGCATCCAAGAGTACAAGAACAACTCAGAAAACAAATATATCTCCTGGATTCAAGATTCAAGAATCTGAGAGCTCTCAGATTCTGGGAATCTTGAATCTTGAATCTTGAATCCTGGATTTGGTTTAAACAAATTCCAGGGTTGTTTCAATACTCTCGGTGTTCAATAAGATTCTCGGAAGAGTTTTCCGTGAAATATTTCAATCTCGAATCTTCAATCCAGTGGTCAAATACGTTCGAGGTGTTGGAACAACTAGACCATTTTTAGGGATTGACCAGGATGGATGGTTCTCGGGAAAGTTGTTGTTTCTGCACTCCTCAATATTGAATCCTCAATCCAGTGGTGAAGCACTTTCAAGTGTTAGAAGAACAAAACATGCCGTTTGGGTTTGTCCAGGATTCACAATTCGCAGGACAGTTTTCGGTGTAATCTTCAATCTTGAATCTTCCATCCAGCGGTAGAATACTTTCAAGTGCTCAACGATCCAGTGGAAACACCTTCAAGTTATTAGTTAGACAAACTTTCAAGTGCTTTGGTGAGCTTCATGTCAGCTATGCTCATGTTGACCCTTTTCCAGGAGGTAAATTAAGGTAGGTGTAATGCTCAAAAACACTGTATTTTCAGTATTTTATAAAGGGGCCCAGGATCATTAGGGGTACTATATGTATGTGTATGTATGTGCATACATAGATGTACAGATGTATGTACGTTCACACACCGTCACCCCCCCCTCTTGAACCACCTGTCCATTTGCTCATCTACTACCTCCACCTTTTGAGATATAATGAATTTTGTTTCCTGTGCAAATAGAACTTTAAATACAACTTATTTAGCTAGAATCCCTGTTTCGAGATAGTCTTAGAATTTGAACCTCTCTTCCCTTGAAATGTCCCTTTAGACCGTCTAACAAGTTCAATGTCGGACCTTTCTTATGCTACAAAAAGGCCAGAATGTAAATAACACAAAACGTATTTTGAATTTCCTTGTAGAAGTCCCTTAAATGTTTAGCCATATTTAATATGAATTATACTTGAGAAGTCGTCTCTATTTAATTGTTATTATCAAAAGCTAATTGAATTGTGTTCGTATTAGATCATATTTAACACTTAGATTGTATTTGAGAATAAACTCCTATCTAACTTTTTTTGTTAAAGATTGGTTGGAGTTTACCAGAAATTATATTCACATTTTCATGTAGCTCCTATTTGGACAGGATTTGCACATCTAAGCTGTAATTGAACATAAAACAACATGTTTGAAAGCTATATCCTTACTAAACTATATTCCAAATTCAAATTGTAGTTGAAGAAAAATCCTATTTGGAAAGCGTATCATATTGGGACATTATGGAGAACTCCGAGCTCCAAATCAGGCTTCGGGGGCCCACAATTGGACATTTCGAGAATATAAATTTTGAGATACTAGATTTGCCGTCCCCAAAAAGCAGTAAAACCAGGGTCCATGGGGGGGGGGGTAGCACATATATATATATATATATATCCAGACGGGCGCTTTTACAGAAGAGCCAAACCACAACAAAATGATGTTCTTACTACTTTTTCTATTGTATTTTCACATATATCACGCAGGCCAAGATCAATGACGAACAAGCAAGAGTCGAAGAGTCTTTCTGTCATGTTTTTTGACATGCCCTTCAAAGAACAAGTGCGTTGGCCGTCATGATGTAGGCACACCTGCAAGCTATAGATGAGAACGCAAGCCCAAGTGCGTTTGCAGTCATGATGTATCCCTGCCTGCCAAATGGCAAGAACACACGTTCAAGTGTGTTGCCATTGTGAACAAGTGGCCTTGAACAAGGGCCTTGAAGGGGTCTTTGTTTCACCCAAAACGCAGGGCGTCTGGACAATCCAAAGGACCACAGCCCATTTTTGATGTTCCCCTTGTTGATCTGCAGATGAAAAGATGATCCCAACCATAAACAGCTATGGATATCCGCCCTATAAGTTCGTGTCCACTGATTTTGCATAGACCCTTTTCAGTACCAAGCCCGAACTGGAGGCCCAGGCCTGGCAACTTGTCCTCCGGTGCCGCTGAGGACCTCCCGATCCATCGCGCGGCTGCGGCAGGAGCTGGGGCATTTGCAGGGCGCGGGCCTGCAGCAGCTGCTGCAGTCCGCCCAACAGGCGCGCCTTGCGAGCGAGCTTGGAGGGGGATGTCAGCTGACCGAAAAGGGAGGATGTTTGCCCATGAACCACTGGGCTTTTCGAAAGATACCCTTGAAAACACAGGTACTTAATTGAGCTGCCATTCGAAGAGTTCGTTTTAGGGATATGTACTGGAGTGGAGTGGCGTGAAAACCTGCGACAAACGAAGGCAACTTTGAAAATGAGGGCTCCTCATTGTGCATTTGACATCCTTTCAGCTCTTGAAACCAACTCCAACGAAGCCTCAACGACCCTTTCTTCGCGAAAACTTAGTTTTGCGAACGTTGGCCTCGCAAATCAAATCAAGATGGATGAGAAGCAACCGGAGTTTGTAGGGTCGCAAAAAGGTTGCTTCCAAGACCTCAGCCGGCAAGTCATGTTGCCAGCGAGAAACGGAAATGCAAGACTTGCAAAGAACAAGCTGCCAGTAGTGACGCTTGGCTGTGAGATGCAGAGGATTTCGGCGGCTTCAAGTTTTGGACTTATTTGTGTTTCCTGGCTTGTTGGTGTTCCTGCATGCACTTTCAACCAGCCAGAAGGTGTCACTTTTTGCGATGCTTCCTAAGCTTGGCCAACAGGAGCTGGGTTTCGCCAAAGGAACTTGGACATGGGCGTGCCACCGCAGGGTGGCTTAAAGCCCTTTGGTTTGAAAGGGACCCCATTTTGGAGAACAGGGTAAACCGGGGGTTGAAGGGAAACCGAAGGCACACCCGAGCGCCTTGGCTTGGGGTTGATGGTTCGTTGCCGGTGCTAGAGAGATGAATCACCTGAAGCTTCTTGGGCTGCCGACTTTCTGCAGAACACTCCGGTATCTCTTCCCGAATGGTTTGTGTGCCAAGTCAAGCCTCCCTATCATTTGTCGGGACCAATTGCTTCAAGCTCACCACATCGGGGTAAAACCAGCTCACCCACAGTAAAGATCCTTTACTGGGGTATCTTGGCGCAGAATCATGCCATTGCGGATGTTTTTTTTGTCCAGCCAGAATTTCGTCCTCCAGCGACAGCGCATTTGCACTTGTTGGGTTCTACCAGATTCACAAGGAGCAAAATTTATTTGTGCAGTGGAGGAATGCGCTTTTGGGTCCAAAAGACCCACTCCTTTGGGTGCCTCTCTGGGTTTGAAGCGAAGCCAAAGAAACCACAGGGCCACGCAGTCGAAGCAGTCGAAGCTCCTGTCGCCCGCGCAGGACATGGGCGCCCTGAATCAGCGCTTGCGCCCCGAGCGGCAGCAGCGCCTGGTCAAAATGTTCTGGGAGGCCAAGTTGGGTTCGGACGGAATGGATTTTTGGGTCGCACTTTTCTCTACTGCTATTGGGTTGGATCTTTGGATCTTTAGGCTTTAACTTTTTGGATTCCTTTTACCTCATATTTCCTTTTGACCAGCAAACAGTTTAACTTTTTGATGGGGAATCTATAGCACCCAAGTTTTGTGATGCCAAGGAACCGTTGCCCCGGTTGCCCCCTCTAAGCAAAGGATTGGTTATTGGGAGTGCCGTTTTCGCCCGGTCTGAGAAAAGTGGCTGCGATGCCCGCAACCCAAAAGGCCATGCCTTTTGTTGGCGCACAGTTTCCAGGACCTTTCTCGTATGTTCGAGGGAGGAGGAGACAACTCCACACACACACACACATTCTACGAGGGGCACCCCCCCAAACCGGGCCATGCCTCCTCGCCTCCTCGCCGAGGCCCCAGGAAGAGTCGGCGCTGAAGGAGGCGCTGCGGAACGCCTGGGCCCACGAGGCCAAGGACCGCAAGGCCACCGAGGAGAAGCTGCGCCTCGGCGCCGAAGCCCCGAAGCCCGCTTCGGGGCGACCGGTGCGACCGGGGGTTCCCCGGTTTTCTTTGGGGAGAGAAGGGGTGTCCCTTCTAAGAGAAGCCACGATTTGGGGGCGATCAGATTCTGGTTTTCCCCTTTGGCAAGTCTCCGATTTTCATGGTGTTGCTTTAACATGTTTTAAACTTGCGATGGTTTGCGTGGTTTGGTTCATCGAGTCTACCTTTCGAGCGACTCAAGGAGGGTACCCTCCAAAAACCAAGCCCATTGAGGGCACCTTTCTGTTAAAACGTAATCTCCAATTATCATGACCACAAGTGGGCGAATGGAAAACCAGTTGCATAAGGGGGCCAACCCCCATGATGTTCAGAGATCTTGTTCCCCAGCGACGGATCTCAAGGAAGCATCCTCCAAAAGATCAGTGGACTGACATATCCGGATCCATCATGTCCAAAAAGTCCTTGATTGAAATCCCAGGGAATTAAGTGTGGTTTGCCGAATAGTGCGGCCTTACTTCCGTTCAAAGGAAAAATGCAGGGCTCGACCTCCATGACCCTTAAAGGATGACGAACCTTGAAGGAATCTCAGCCGAAAGCCTCACGAACCTTTGAAAGGTTGGTTGATTTTGATGGAAAAACATCTGGGAGATGTGCGCCTTTGTTCTTGCCATATTTGCCTTTCGCAATCGTAACATGTTCCTCGTTTCTGGCCTCTTTTCGGCCACCTGGGCTGATGCGTTGCTGTCGGCTTGTAGGCATAGTTTGTTCAACACCTTGGCTTCCAAACCAACATATGAGATTCTCGGGGGTCTCCAACATATTCGGCAATTTTGCATGGGCAGACCTGGGAACGACCAAAAACCACAGCACCGCTCCAATGGAAACCCAAAGGATCTGTGGGGTGGCGGGTGGCGGCCACCGGCCGCCTTTGGCCCATGGCCACGTCGCGTCGCTCGTCGCTCGTCGAGGCAAGGGGCGGAGGAGCTGTGGCAGGGGCTCCGGGAGCAGCTGCAGAGCCTAGGCTCCGTGGCGCGGCGCTGCAGGCGGGCGGGCGGCTGGGCCCATGGGATGTGGGTGGGATGTGGGTGGGAAGATCCGTGGAAGGTTTGTAGGGTTCATGAAAGTGAAGATTTTTGAGGGTCTCTCAAAGACTGCTTCTGGAGGTTCTTCCCTGTACACCATCATGTGGGGGATGGTGTTGAAGATGTTACTTTGATAGACCCGTTTGTCTCAAAGGGACCCTGCCTCCTTCCTGCAAAAAAGAAAGGGCTTTTCGGGTGGTCCCGCCTGTTTTCTTTGAATTCAGCACTAAAATTTTAGAAACCACGGCCGCCCGGCGTTGCCCAGGAATGAAGTGCCCGGCATGCGCCTTGCACCGCCGGGCGATGAGGTCTGGGCGGACCCCTCGGCGGTTCCAGGCCGGCCGAAGTGTCCGGAGACAAGGCGACCCTGGAACCCCCCGTAAGCACATGAGCCCACGTTTTCGGAGTTCAGATGAATTTCTGATTTCACCTATGCAAGTGCACCAAGTCATGCACACCTTGGGGTGCATGGAGGGCACGTCCTTGGGGCTTGAGGGATCAGGCCTGTGGGTTTTCGTTTTTCGGCCTCCAGTCCCAAGTGATAGCCACAAAACAGGTGGTGCGCATGCGTCCAAGCATATACAAGTGCATCTCGCATGACAGATACGTGAATACAGGATGTGTGTGTGTGTGTGCGCCCATCGTCATAGGGATGTTCTGCAGTTGCGTTTTCTTTGTGCTCGCCGCTCACGAAGAAGCAAAGGTCACAAGATCATGGTCTTCTCAGTAACTAGAGCATGGATAATTACTCCCCGCGCCCTTGGCCTTGCCCGAGCTATGCAAGTTCCCAGGCACTTGAAGCAAGCCGTGTCCTGACCAATGCGATCGCATCATGTTGGCTTCCGTGTTGAGGGTGGGCATCTTCACAGGCAGCTTAGGCAAGCGTTGGAGACCTCACTTTGATGGTAGGCACATCAAGTCGCCAAGCATATCCTTTAGTTAGCACAATGATAATCGTCACCTCTCAACTCGCTCCCAGTATTTGCCTACTATACAACGACAAAACAATACAAACCCTATGTATATATATATATATATGCCTGGAAAGCCGTATGGCCGTTTTTTTTTGGACGGAACCCGTATTTGGATCATTTTTCCCGTGTGGTCATTTATTGTGCTGGCCGGTGGCCGTATTTGGCCGTATGCAACCCGTACTTGTTCAACAAATTGTTGACAACAAGCCGTAAATAACCGTATGGTCATTTTTTTGTGGCCCAAGCCGTATGGACAGAAAAAAAACGTCACATATGGGTTTCCAGGTATGTATTAATTTACATGTGTGTGCTTAGTTTGGGGGCTCTTTCAGGTTGAAAGGGAAACCACTAGAACAAACATCGGTTTGGGGATCAGGTTGAACCGACCACGCACAGCAGTCAGTAAGACTTAGAGCCTGCCGATTCCCTTGAGCAAATGGTCAAGACTCACCTCACCGTCATGTATTGTAAAGATGACGGCACGGGGCAACCCGGCCATGCGTTTCCTTAGACTTTCAAACTTGCGTGTGGAGTTGGATATGTGACATCTAACCAAAAGTGCAACAACCATAGGTGTTTTTTTAAGGTTGGTTTGTGAGGGAAATAGATGGCACAGGTTTAGATGTTTTGTTATTCCACCACAAGGCTCATCCATTTTCCCAAAAGGTCACCTATGGTAACACCACCTTTAGCAAGGAATCAACGAACCACTAAGACGGTGAAAGCGGGGAAAGCCAATATTGCTCTCACCGCCTGTTAGTTTCCATTTACTGTAGCAACTTGGTCTCACTCAGTGCTTTACGCTTCCATCATGGAAGTGGAGCCAAATTAACCAAAAGGACACCTATGTTCCCAGCCATATCCTGAGACTTGCAGATGCTTAGGGCTTGGAAAGATTTGTAGTATATCCGGCTCAAAGTCGACCACTTTCAGCCAGGGATCAACGGCCCGCCAAGGACTGAACTAAATTGAACATACCGTGCTCTTGGCAGCTAGAAGTGTAGCGGCTCTATACCTTCATTTGGGGGTTCCTCCATGTGGAGGACCTCCTTTTGGGCTGTTGAAAGGGACACCAAGCACAACTATTCAGTGTACAGGACCACTATTTGGAGAAATTCCCACTTGAGTGTTTGATTGCATCTTTGACGCAACTTCAACCATGCCGACTTCTGCGCAGCTCGACCTTCAGCGCTACCAAAAGCAAGCGGCCAGCTTGGATCCCGGATTCACCGCTTTTGAACCTGAGCTCTTCCAAGCAGCTGGCCAAACACGGAAAAGAAGCACAGGCAGTGGAATCAGATGCGCTACAACGAAACATTTGTCTCTCGTGTCCAGGCGGAAGCAGGTTTCGATGATGACAATCTCGTTTGTCACTACTGCGCAGTACCCGTACGGGTGTACACGTGGCAGCAGTTAGTGGGAAAAAGACCGCCAGGAAACACCGCAACCGCGGATCACCGTGTGGCACTCGGCAATGGAGCCGAAAATGCGTGGCGCAACCTCTGCGTTGCATGCTACAGCTGCAATCAGAAGAAGGGCACACAGGGAGGAACAGTTTTCGAGCTTTCACCCGCGCGACCGGCTGCCGTTTCCCGTTTGCCAGATGCACCCAACCACGTTTGAGCCGCTACTATGTTGACCAACAAGTCCGCCTGCGAGGCACAGGTAAGTTCAAGCGGAACGCAGAAACAAAGAACATGCGCGAGTTCGCCGCGGAGATCATCGAGTTAGACGAGGAATCGAATGCAGTGGTCGTAAAATATGACTGTGGCGGCGGAGAGAATACATTCCAACTGTGGTTTTTCGAAGAGGTGCTCTACTCTTCGGACCAAAAAAAGACAGTTTCCTTGCTCGACCAGATGCTGGAACTGGATGCGTGAGCTGGCAATTCATCTCGGCCCCAAAGCCAAGCTCAAGATGGACAGCTGCCACCGAACCCGAGTGATCTGGGCCCGAGCTTGGGGAAAGTATTTTTTCCCAGGCGCGGGGTGTCTGGACAGCGGAACGGTGGGTCTCCATCTTTGCAGCCTGCTGGAAAGAACAACCCACTGGGCTTGAGCCCAGTCTTTGTTTTAGTATCGTTTAATTTGTTTATTCAACTTGTTCGAAAAACAGGGGTTCGCCAAAAGAAGATGCCGCCGACCAAAGCAATTGTGCGCCATTCCTCCAGAAAAGGGGTCCGCCAAACGAAGGCCCCTCCAAAAAAGATGGTGCTTTGGAGGTTTCTTTTGAAGCTGGGAAGTAGCGTTGTGCGAGAGGTGCCTTGAAGACTCTCGTGGACTGCTTTGAGCAGCTCAAGAAGATGCGCGAGGCCAGATTTTGCCACGGAACCATCTTCCCGGGTATTTTTGGGGCGAGCAAATGTACCCCATTTGGCAGGGACCAAACGAGCAGATGGACACTTTCCCACACAGAGCCACATGTAACCAACGATTTAGCAAGGTTTTAACTGGTCTTGATAGCTATGCTTGTAGGACCGCCTGCTTTGTCAGCCCAGCGCTGTCACAGCCAGCTCATCCATGAATCATGTCACTGCCTTTTGGATCCCATCATGGTTCTTAAAAGCAGGCAAGCTAGAAGCCATCATGTAAAGCAAGAAGGGTGATGCCCCTGGTCGGCTATCATTCTGACAGGCCCAAAAGGGGTTCCAACAAGTAGGTTCCAGCTGGCATCATAGAGCCCATTCACTAGAACCATTCAACCATTTAGTTCGGGATAACCCCCAGTGGAATTATTTGCCCCAAACTCACCAAACAAACAATTGGATTTCAAGGTGCCCAATAAATTGGGAAAGAAACGAGCTAATCGATTACAGCGCCACAGATTTTCGTGTCCGGAACCCCAGACACCATCATTTGTAGAGGACACGCCTTCTGGGTGAGGCCACTTCGGGGTTCAATGTTAATGTGTAGGGGAGCTCGAAAAAGAAGCCCTTAGTTTCTGATGGCCTTTCTTGAGCGATTTGGTCACAAGCCAGGAAGAGGAAAGGGAAGATCCTCAGGGGTTAACCAAGCGAACGCAGGCAAACACGGTCAGAAGAAACGGGGCTGTGCGAACCCCCCTCGCTAGGGGCTGTTGGTAAAGGGACCATTGACTGCGTTGACTCTGGGAACAAAGGGGCTGCCCTTAACACTTGAAGAGGGGTCTCCTTACTTGGAGGTCAACCGACAAAGCCTGCTTACAACCTGACTGCATGCTTTGCTGCTGTGTCCAACCGAGCCAAACTGAGCTGAGCGGTGGTGTACCGTCCAAACAGGCCCTCCCCAAAAAGACATGGGTACATCCCTTATGTTCAAGCCTGGGGAAGTGGACAATAGTCCTATATTCTTGAGCCGTTTGTTTGAGTTTTCATTGTCCAGCCCATGAGATGTTCTGAGCATAAGTCTGGCCTGTATGGTATCCCCATGAATGGCGTCCTTTCGGTTTTCCTTCGGAAGACATCAACATCGGAGCCCCATCATTCAAGGAGAAACCCGTATTTTCCCACCCAGCTTGACCGCATTTGTGCGTGGCTGTGGGATGTGGCAGGTCTTTGAGACAGCGCCAAACCTTGACCTACAAAATAGTTTGAAATGGTCCAAACAAATTGGTGTTTTTTCCACAAATGCACACCTAGACCAAATTTTGGCTGAGAAAACGGGTCAAGCTTACCCTAGCTTCCAAAAAATACATAAATCTAAGTTGCCGTGTTTTTTTGGTATTTTTGGGGCAACTGTTTGTCGACTTCAAACAAATCAAAGTCCAACATTATCCGCACACAATTGATATTGTTTAAACAACTAATGAAGGAGTACCCGGATTTTGACTACATCTCAATATTGTATGCGAACTCACCTCTCACTTTTGTCCTGAAGCCACAAAGCAAGCTACAATTTGGAAGCCAATGATTCGATGGTCAAAAAGGCTTTCTATGTTGCTCACCCACCCCCCCCGCTTTGCTCCCGCAGCTGACAAATGCTATGCCGAATCCAACTTTGGGTTTCACCGCCTTTTTGGCACGTTGGCACAGGGAAACCGTTGGGCACTTCGGGGGAAGACTCGCGCGACGCAGCTATGCGTCTCTTTGCGAGAGGCGCCCCGTGAACCCCGCGCACGTGTGGTGTCGCTGCTGGGAGCCCAGCAATTTGTTTGGAGGGTTCACTGAGGAAGGGGCTTGCTACGGGTGTGTCTCAAAAGCACTTGGACCCCAACACTGAAAACAGCCAGCCAATAGAGGGCTCCCCTCAGAATGCGTCTGCAATAAGAGGAAGAATGGTTGAACCTCGTTTTTTGTCGCAGTTACAGACACCAAATGTCGCTCACGACCTTAGTGTGAAGTTGCAGGCAATTCCATGCAAGCTCCAAGGACTTTCGTCTTCAAAGGCGCCAATCATTTCCGAAAATTCGAAAATCCCGGGGAGACACTTAAA